GCTCCCAGCCCAGCTCTGCACCCTGGGAGCCCCAAAGCTTCGTTTACACTCACGGAGCCACCGGCCCCGTTTCAATGTCTTCTCTTGCTGCTACTCGTCCTTCCCTTTGGACTGGGGCTGGCTCGGGGAGGGGGGGTCCCTGCACCCCGGCTTTGGCTCCTGGTGCAGCTGGAAGGAGCAGCTTTGCTCCCAGCCATCATCTGAGCCCGGCTGCTGCTGTGCCCCTGCCTGTGTGCCCCCGGGGCTCTCCCTGTCCCCCCGTGTACAATCACCTGTGGCTTTGTCCCCTCTGAGTGCTGGCATCGTGCTGGGGCCCTGAATGTCTCCTCTGGGGGGGCTCCTGGCTGACCCTCCCCTCCCACAGGGCCCAGGGCACGGCTGTGGAGCAGCTCTGCCCTCACCCCCTTTCCCTGGGCTGAGCCCCCCTCGGGGCTGATCACGGCTTTTAGAGCACCCCCACATTCCCCAGGCTGGCCCTGCTCCCCCTGCCCCGCCCCAGAGAGGTGAGGGCTGCCCTGGGGGCTCAGCCCCAGCAGCTCTGCCCCAGCCCTGCCCCTCCTGCCCGGGCTGTGCAAAGCAATAACTGCCCTCTGCAGAGTGCAGCGTGGGGCCCACCCTGCCTGCCCTCTGGGCTTGGCCTTTCCATTTCTGCTCCTTTGAGGAAGTGTGAAAGCAGCAGAGCTGCTGCTGGCACCGGGGGCAGCCCAGCTCTGCCCTGCCCTGGGCTCTTTTATGCTGTGTTTTAATGCTGCTGTGCCCCTGCCCCCCAGGCCTGGCTGGGGGGCATGAGAGGGTGGCAGGGGTGGGATGGCAGCTCCCTGGGGGCGGCACGGGGGGGATGGCAGCTCCTGGGGACACCAGGGGTGGGATGGCAGTGCCCTGGGGCTGGCATGGGTGAGAGGGCAGCGCCCTGGGGCTGGCACGGGTGGGATGGCAGCTCCCTGGGGGCACCAGGGGCTGGCAGGGTGGGATGGCAGGGGGCACCAAGGGCTGGAGATGGACAGACTGACCTGTGTGACTGTGAACTGGAACTGTGTATGATGGGGGCCCGGGCCCAGCCCTGTGCAGAGCATTCCTGCTCCCTCCCTGCCCGAGCAGTGCCGGGAACCCGGCAGGGAGAACGGCTTCTCTCCATTCCTCAATACAGCTTTGGGGTTTTTCTTCTGGTTTTTTTTTTCTTCTGGGTTT